GTGAGATGGAGGAGGACTTTGTGGATTGGTGTTGGACATATGGGTTAATGTTGGACTTGTGGGCTTGGGCAGCACTGGGTTAGGATGTTTTCTTGATGCACACTTAACCTTTACATAAAACTCTCTCTTATACATGAGTTTCTGTGGATTTGTTTCTCTTAAGTACCCAGACTAACACAAATACTTTCAGGAATCACATACTCCAGTCACAGTATCTCACGGGAATTTGGGACACAACACCAAGCTGAAACAAATGACAGGGTGTCACCCTCTGGTTGTTTGGCACCTTTCCTCTTTATGTTATATGTTTGTTTACTGAAGTGCCAAATGCAAGGGAATAAAAATGTATTTCATCATAACAAGTTTTATAAAATGAATAAATAAACATGACAATCATAGTTCCCTTCAAATTTGTAGACCCATGGATGGAATGAACATTACTACAGATGCTTAGAAGATGCTGATGCACAGATGAACAGTTAAAAAAAGAGTAAGTCCCCGGAGGAAAGATGGCTGTGGCCTGAGGCGAGTCCGGTTTGAGGCGTCATAAGCGCTCCCGTCTCTACTGTTTTGATCCTGGTCAGGGAGGAAGCCGGGTGGATGTGAACGCCGACCGCCGGATCAACACCGAGGAGATGCAGCGCTGGATTATGGAGAAGACGGCCGAGTACTCCCAGGAGGCAGTCCGCGAGAACAAGCTACACTTCGGAGCCGTGGACCCTGACGGCGACGGCCGAGTGTCGTGGGACGAGTACCGGGTGAAGTTCCTGGCCAGCAAGGGCCACGATGCGCGAGAGGATCAAGAACAACGAGGACCTGAAGGCGGACGAGGAGACACAGGAAGTCCTGGAGAACCTCAAGGACCGCTGGTACCAGGCGGACAACCCCCCTTTGGACCTGCGGACCGAGGAGGAGTTCCTGTCCTTCCAGCACCCGGAGCACAGCCGCGGCATGCTGCAGTTCATGGTCAAGGAGGTCGTGCGCGACCTGGACCAGGATGGTGACAAGCGGCTCTCTCTACCCGAGTTCATCTCCCTGCCCGTGGGCACCGTGGAGAAGCAGCAGGCCCAGGACATCGATGACAACTGGGTCAAAGACAGGAAGAGGGAGTTTGAGGAGCTGATCGATGCTAACCATGATGGCATTGTGACCCCAGAGGAGCTGGAGGAGTACATGGACCCCACGAACGAGTCCAACGCCCTCAACGGGGCCAAGCAGATGATCGCCATCGCCGACGAGAACCAGAACCACCACTTGGAGCCCGAGGAGGTCCCCAAGTACAGCGAGTTCTTCACCGGCAGCAAGCTGGTGGACTATGCACGCAGCGTGCACGAGTTCTCACCCGGCCCCGCCCGCCCCAGCCTCGTGGCCGTGGCTGCAGGTGCCACCTTTTGGACCCTTCTCTCCTTCCCACCAGACTGAACCGTTACAAGTCTCCCTGGCCACACACAGCTCTCTCCTCGCACTGAGACCCACCTGGGGCATCTGTGAGGCACCGAGAGCCTGCACGGCGCCTGCGTCTCTTTAGAAGCAGATTGAGAGGGGAGGGCGTGCTGTGCCCTGA